TCTGCAAAATCTTCAAATCCACAGTATGGCTATTGTCTTTCTTGAATGAGCAATGGAAAACCATAGGGTTATTTTAAGATAAAGAGGGTTTCTAACAGTATGTAGGAAAGCCACTTAGGGGAGCATTTGGTAGAATCTTACATAGAATATTTGCAAAGGTGATTTGTGAACAGATTCAAAACATACGTAGGAGGTCAAGTGGAGAGGCCTTGAAATTAGAGTGAACATAGGAGAGAAAAGGGGAAGAAATGTATGGAAGACGACTCCCAGGTTTATTAACTTTGAACCTAGATGGTTAACAGCATCACACATTCAGACAGAAAACACTGGGAGAAGCTTGGGCTTTGAACGATTATAGATTTGGTTTCGGATTTGTTGGGTTTTTTGCGTTGTTGAAACATTCAAGAATGTGTCAAGTGCACACTGGGATGAACAGAGAGAGGTTTGGTCTGGATACATCAATTTGTGAGTCATCCAATTATAGGAATAACTAACACTGTATGTAATGACATTGTTTGTGGAGGAAGTATATTTGGGACAAAAAAGAAGACTTCAAACACTCTTCCAAAATTCTAATATATGATGGCTGTAAAGATAAAGTTTAGCATGCAAAAGAGTAACCAGAGGGACTATAGAAAAATCAGGAAAGTATTCTATTATGGTAGCCAAAGCATTAGATGATCTCTGTCTCAGCGTATTCATGCTGCCATAATGAAATTCCATGAACTAGGTAGCTTATTGACAACAAAAATGTATTTCTCACAGTTCTGGAAGCTGGGAAATCCAAGATCAAGATGTTGGCACATTTGGTACGTGGTAAGTCCCACTTTCTGATTTATAGATGATGCCTTGTCATACATTACCTCCAAAAAGTCTATCTCATGATATAACATCAATTGGGTTTTAACATATACAGTTTGGAGGGATAGTAATATTCAGAGCATTGCATTTTTCAAAAGGACAAAATGGTCAACAGTATTGATCCCTGCTAAAAAGTCAAGTAAGATGAGCATTGAAAACAATGCTTGATGGATTAGCAAATGATAGCTTAACTTCTAAAATGGCCCCATGATCATCAACATACTCCTTGATGCCTGAACCGTGTATAATCCCCTCTCCTTGGATATAAGCTGGACCTATCACTTTCTTCTGGACAATAAAATATGGCAAAGTCAATGGTGTAATTATGATCCCACATTTTGAGTTAATCAAAATTGAAATTATCTTGGGTGTGCCTGACTTAATCAGGTGAAAGTACTTAAAAGAGAGACAGGTAATTCTCCCTAAGAATAGGGAGTAAATGGGCTAATTTAGAATGTCCATGCAGCAAGGAACTTCTGGAAGCCCCTAGAACCTAAAAGTGACTTCAGCTGGCAGCCAACAAAAAACTGGGACTGTCATACCACCACAAGGAAACAAATTCTACCAACAGCCTAAATGAGTTCAGAAGTGAATTATTTCCCCAGTGGAGCTTTTGATAAGACTTCAACCTGGTGATACCTGAAGCAGCGAACTCTGGACTCCTGACCTTCAGAAAATGTGAGATGATAAATGATGTTGTTTTAAGACACAGGTCTGTGCTAATTTGTTACACAGCAATAGAGAACTATTAGAGCAACATAAAAAATTTATTGATGCTCTCTGAACAAAAGCTGTTTCAGTAGAGTGACTGGACAGGAACCAGACTGGACTGGTTTGGAGGAGCGAGTGGGAGGCAAGTAAATGGAGTGAGTATAGATAACTCTTAGATAAATCAAGAGATTTTCCTGAACAGAAAACAAGAGTGTAGGGCTGTAGCTGAAAGGGGCTGTGGCTTTGAGGACAAAGTTTTTATTTTGTATTTTAATGGGGAATAACTTAAACATGTTTAAAAATCTGTCTTCCACAATAATCTATTTTTACTGAACGTTTACTTGACCATGCCAGATGCAGCATAGGTAGATATAATTCACATTAAATAACTAAGATCTACGTCTGGTGACCTTACGTTGATTTTAACATTGCAAATATTGTAAAGTGGGATAGAGAATTATAAAAGAAAACAATACAAAGTATGCTATTTAGCAAAACCTTCCTGTATACAATATCTCCAAATGAAAGAAAGATTTCCTTACTCTGGAGGATCCTATGGTCTGAACCACGTTTCCTTATTCCTTTCAGTTCTTAGTGCAGAAAAGCTTTGATTTGACTTTCTACGATAGTTCTCAAAGGTGGAACCTTTGTGTGGGATTTGACCAACAAATCTTGGTGTAGATCTATACTGAATCTGTAGAATCACAGAAAAACAACTAGGCCATTGTGTTAAACTAATATCAAACATGAATTACCATCGAACATTGCTGCAAGAATTTCAGCTTTATAATATTTACTTAGAACCTCTTCTCCATGCATGATTTTTTCTAAAAACAGTGGTGGTAATATCTGTGCATTTGCATTCCTGATCTCAAAAAACTGCCTTATTATCCTCAAACAAATGTTTAGTTTGAAATAAGAGAACAATAATAACAATTAAAGAAAGAGACAGAAAAAGAGAAGAGAGGAAAGAAAACTCACTACATCCCAGGTTCTGTACCAACTACTTAATATAAATATCTCCCTTCATTCTTAAAATAATTACATTAAGTAGGCTATAGCATATCCTCATTTTCTTCAGATAAACTGAATTTTATATTTAAAATAACTATCTATTCATGGTCCTGCATCTGGTCAAATTAAGTGTCATATTAGAGAAAAAATCCTTTTGTGTGTCTCTAACATTAATAGTTTTCACTACCATGATATGTTGCTTCCATTACAAAAAAATATTGTGGCTTTTATTTTTCTCATGGAATTCACACTAGTCTGTCACATAGCAAGAAGAACTGCTCACTGCACTAACAAGGGAAAATAAAGACCTCTATGGAAAAGAAAACAATTGCATAGATTTTGCATTTTTCAGTACATCTTTCCATGTTCAATAACATACTCCAGCTGAATTTCCTTGGTGACACTTCAAAGACTTCCCTGACTGTCACGATCCAATTGGTAAGAACTTATAACACAAGTGTCGGTTATATCATGTACCTTGCTAAGCACATATTAGGTAGCTTAACATATGTACTTTACATTAGAGAACAATAAAACTTGATTATGAACTATACCAATGATTATTCCTCTTTTGTATAGATAACGATTTAGTATCATCTGATGTCAATCATTTTACCTAGGCTAGTAGTTTTCAAGCTTGAGCCTGCATCAGAATCTCCTGCAGAGCTTCTTAAAATACAGATCACCAGGCCCCGCTCTAAGAGTTTCTGATTCGGTAGGTGTGGCTTGCAGCACTAGAATTTGCATTTTTAACAAGTTCCCAGATGCTTCTGCTGCTGCTCATAGCCTGGAGATCACAATTTGAGAACCACTGGCCCAGACCAGGGTTCAAAAAGATTTTCCATAAAGACCCAGGTAAATATTTTTTTGGTTTTGGGGGCCATACGGTCTCTTGTCACAACTACTCAACTATTCCTTTGTAGTGCAAAATCAGTTGTGCATAATACACAATGAATAAATGATGGCTGTGTTTCAATAAAATTGTACTTACAAAAAAGGTGTCAGGCTGAGTTTCATCAACAAACCAGATTGGCCAACCCCTGGCTTAGACCAACTCAGTACAAGAGCCCTGAAATATCACTTTGTTTATGTTAAATGGCAACTCTGTGATAATCATTTGCAAACATATCTACAAATATCCCTTTTAAGTTTTATTTAAGTATCTACAGAACTGTACCAGAGACTAAACTGATGGTCTCCTTGAAGCCTAGAGAAGAAACCCCAAAGTTTTTCTATAAACCCAACAGAAATACGTAATACTTCGATGCAAGAGTCTGCATAGTTATAAATGCCCACGAACTCTATCTTTATTTTCAAGTTTTAGTTTTAGTTAAATATTGTTTGTGGTGTTATAAGCCATAAATCTACCAGGTTAAAGAAGGCCAAAACACTACTGAATGACATACATGTCAGCTCAGTAAGGTTATCTATTAACTTTATAATAAACAAAACAAGAACACTTCATTTACCATGAGTGTGCCCTGCTTTAATGTAGTTGGTCTTTACCCACAGCAGTAGACTTCAAACTAATTTGAAAATGCCACTATAATCTTAAAATTCTACTTAACTGTATACTTCAGTGAACCCACTACATTAGCTTTATCCTTGTAAAATGGAAGTTCCTGTAAAAGGGCAAAATTCTGATAAATTTTTATCATAATGAAATGTGATTTAGTTCCCTGAAAATAATTATATGCAAATACCATGAGGAAACAGTATTATGAATCATTTTATAAACTCAAAATGTGAATATTATGTCAAGAGTCTCCAACAATCTACTACATGCTATAGAAAATAAATAAAATCCCTACAGCCAATGGCATATTCTAATATTTAATAATTTGAGGATGAACTAACTTATACTGGGATTCATGGTATCTATCTTTCACAACATTTTACTAAATTCAATTAAATCAAATGTTTCCATTTGGCAAACAGGTATACATTTACCGGCAGATATCTAGTACTTTGTCTAAAGGAGTGGTTTTAAAAAGTTCTCAGTTAAAACAAAAATGTTAAAAGAGCCCTGTGGCTAAAGGGAAACTGGAAAGTGTTGATTTTAGATACATTTCAAAAGTTTCTTTACTTCAGGACGTCTCAGAACCATTACCTGCATGGTATAAATATCTAAGGAAGATTTGTCAGGCCGTACAGCCTTTTCCCATCTCATTTGAACAGGGAACTTGATTATCAGTAGAACATCTTGAAGTACCAGAGAAATATCCTTAAGAAAGCAATGTTCTAAGTAAGCACTTACATTCAGGTAACATATGGTAAGTTATTTTTAAAAGACCAACTCAACTCAGCAAATATTCTATTACTTGACTAACCATTTAAAGGTCACTCATTTCATTTTACTATGCTACTCACCAAAATCTATCTAGAACACAGTTAATCCTATTAAACATACTTACACTCCTCTTCAGGCCTTTTCCGAAGTGCTGCACGAACCTCTTTACAAGGACTTCTCTGGTATTGTGGGGGGTTCCTTCCCCTTATTAGGTTCTCCATCCTATAAGAGAGAATCAAAAGAGTATTTTAATACCAAAAGTTTGATAGATGTTTACAAGCTAAATGGTCTAAAATTCAAATACCCACAGAACTTTGCTAGACAACACCATGAAGATGACCTGGCAAGGAGCGAACTGGCAAGAAGCATTGGGGACCATAGTAAATTGGAGAGTGCTTGACTTCTCCAGCATTCCAATTTAAAAAATTTAAAACACCATGTGTATGAAACTTATGCACATTCTTTAATTAGAGACTGCTGTGGACTGAATATGTCCCCATAAAATTCAAATATTGAAGCACCAGCCCCCAGCATGATTTGAAGGTAGGGCTTGTGGGAGGTAATTAGGTTTAGAGGAGGTTATGAGTGGAACATCCATGATGGGATTAGTGTCTTTACAGGAAGAGAGAGAAATAAAAAGGGAAAAAGAGTAGACTTCTCTCTCTCTCCACCATGAGGGGACACAGGGAGGAAGCTGTCTTCAAGCCACGGTGAAGGCCTCCACAAGGAACCAAATTTATCAGCACCTTGACCTCGAACTTCCTAGCCTCCAGAACAGAGAGCAATAGTCTGTTGTTTAAGGCACTGAGTCTATGGTATTTTGTTATAGCAGCCCAAGCTGAATAAAATAAAGACCTATCGACTAAGAGTAATTACTTGTAAAGTAAATAAATTTAAAAAGAGGACATCATTCGGAAAGAAAAATCATATCTTTTACCAACATTTCAAGTATCAGTTTTTCACAATGAGATACCACCTTACCCCAGCCAGAAAGGTCATTATTAAAAAGTCAAAAAACAATAGATGTTGGCATGGATGTGAAAAAGGAGCACATACACTGCTGCTGGGAATGTAAACTAGTATAGTCTCCACGAAAAACGGTATGGAGATTTCTCAAAGAACTAAAAGTAAATCTACCACTCGATTCAGTAATCCCACTACTGATTAACCCAAAGGAAAAGAAGATGCTATTTCATAAAAACACCTGCACTCATATGTTTATTACACCACAATTCACAATTGCAAAGATATGAAATCAACCTAACTGCCCATCACCCTATAAGTGGATGAAGAAAATGTGAGATATACATGATATATTGATATATAATATATAAAATATATATGACATATATGATATGTATGATATATACTATATATATAAATGTGGGGTGTATATATGTGCAATATATACACACACATATATATCTACACACAAAATGTATATATGTGTGTAGGATATATATACTACTGGAATATACTACTCAGCCTCAAAAAGAATGAAATAATGTTCAGTAACTTGGATGGAAGTGGAGACCATTACTCTAAGTGAAGTAACTCAGGAACAAAAAGCAAATACCATATGTCTTACTTATAAGTGTAAGAACTAAGGTATGAGTATGCAAAGGCACACAGAGTGGTATAATGGACACTGAAGACTCAGAAGGGAAAGGGTGCGAGAAGGGTGATCAATGAAAAACTACCTATCGAGTACAATGTTCACTATCCGGGTGACATGTGCACTGATTCCTAGACTTCACCAATATACAATTCATCTGTGTAATAAAAACCCACTTGTACCCCTAAAACTATTGAAATAAGAAACACGTTCAAAAAGTAACAGTTTTCAGGAATGGAACTGCTGATTTCATTCAATACTAATGACTGAATCCGACCGTTTTTAAATTCTAATAATCGTGATTTTTTGAAAAGAGTGGTTAATATAAATTGTACCTTTCTGTTACCAGTTACATGGTGATGCTGACAACCAGAAAATAATAAATTAATCAAACACAACTTGGGTGAGCATCTGTAGCAGCATATACTTTGTGGTATTTTCTGTTTTCAGTAAAGTTTACAGTTTTGCACATCAGTGTACACTCTACTAACTTCTATAACACTAAAAAAATTGAATGCTCAGGATTTCAAAAAGTAAACCATAGTATTTATCATTTTGAAAATATAAACGTTATTTCTTAACATCTATATGATTATCCTCAACCAGGGATATCACTGGTTTTGATAACTGTCCTGGTTGATAACATGCATACCATTGAAAACAGTGTGATTATTATGGGTATACTGGCAGAGGGTTTTCTAGGATTAGTAGTATATAGAGAGGATTATGTTCCTTGTATCTGGAGGGGAAATTGAGAAAGGATGATTCCATAGAAGCAGTGTGTTAAGTGGTGGAAAATATGAGATAAAAAGGCTTTTGGGGTGGAATAGTAACATAATACTACTCCCATGGGAACTTATCATTGGGGCTTAAAAATAGTCTTCCAAATATACTGAAATCAGTTCATTCATATGTAGAGGCTGCTTTATGTGCTTGTGTGTGTGTGTGTGTGTGTGTGTGTGCATGCACTCATATGCCTATGCCTATGTTTGTAAAGTATAAGAAATTGTTTTTTAATGTGCAGTGATAACTTGAATCTTAGTTTCACTCAAAATTCATTTCAAGTGAGAAAAAGTTATTTCTCTCAAGATAATGATAATACAATGACAGGAAACCAAGTGGAAACTTGCAGAATTGAAGACATAAACAGCTTCAACATTATATGTGTGCGTGGGGGGGCGGGGTGAAGAGTAAGCTTCTAGGTCTGTCCCTGCAATTTCACCATGAAGATTAGCTATGCGAACTAAATTATATCAAATTTTCTAGTTTCTGACTCTTGAATTAATTCAACGCACAATTTTGATTATGTGTTTTGGCAAATGCAGAACTCTCCATGATGATCTGATAACAATTTAAGTGAGCTTATAATTATTCACTAGTATTTACAAGCTTAAGATAGTAAATTATAGCAAACAGAACCTGCACATGCAAATGTCTACATAAAATTGTAGTGTAATTTTTAAAAACACTTTTACTCATTGTGATTACACTCTGATGGGGAATGACAAGTTATGTTGGTTGGGGAATACATGAAAACTACTCTCTTGAATAGGCTATTACTTTTCCTTTTTATCTCTGACTATCGAATACGTGAAAACAAAAGTGGTCTACTGGATTTCCATGTAATTATGGTTGAGGGTATGTCAGAAAAACTCAAAAACATATTAGAAAGTACTTTCAAAGGCTTTAGGAGGACTTAGATGGTTACTATTGGTATCCAAGACCCTCAGGTTAGCCTCCCAGGAATCATGGTGTTGAGGTTGTATCTTGGGAATACTCATGAGCAGATATGCAAGAGATTATACAATGCTGGCAATGTAGTATGGCTTAAATGTAATGTTCCTCAACTCTGGATTCAGAATTCCTGGGTTTAACCTCTCTTTTTCTGTCTTAAAGGATGATTTTAGGTAAAGTTACTCACATACTTTGTGCCTTACTTACATGCTTACATACACAACAACAGGATTGTTGTGAGGATTAAATATGGTAACACACGTAAAATGCTTTGCATTGTGCCTGTCACAATGGAGAGCTCAGTAAATGAAGCTATTATTAATAATGATTATCACAAATAGAAATGTGATCATATACTAATATTTTAAATGTTCCATATATTTGGAAAAATATTACAACTGGTCTTTAGTAAAGAAAATGAAAACAGATAGTACTGTTGAGGAAAAAAAAATTTGGCTTACAAATTTTCTGATTATTAGGGAAACACAAAATATCCAGGTATGTAAATGGCCAATTTTCATAGATGAAGAACTTAACTAAATATACTTCATTTTTTATCAATAAGATTTAAGGGATTACTAATGACAATCTTCCAAGGACACTAACAGGGATAAAAGTGGGTTGTCGTCACCATGAATTAACTAAAGTTCTACAAAATTACAGGTTTTGTAGAGAATTTAGAAAATATTTCAAAATTTTATAGTTAACTTGGACCTTAGAAACAATTAAAATATTTTGTAATATATTTACCATTTACTTTATCCCTTCATGAATTAAATTACTTCATTTACTTTACCATTTACCATTTACTTCATTAATCCTTTGAACAACCTTATGAAAGAATATTTTAAAGATGAAGAAATTAAGCTCAGATATGCTCAGTGACTTGCTCAAGGCCACATCGGAAGTAGAAGAAGGCTCAACTAAGCTTTAACCAATCTTTTCTGGACTTTTCTAGTTGCTTCTTAGTCCCTTATTTCCATGAGTTCATGATTATAATTCCACTAGGGGGCTGAATACCTGAGATTCAAATATATAACATGTTTTTAATTCTGGTAAAATTATTAACATAATATTAATATTTATATTAATATCTATACTCAGGAGGCTGAGGTGGGAGAATCACTTGAGCACGGGAAGGTGGAGGCTGCAGTGAGCCATGATCATGCCACTGTACTCCAGCCTGGGCAACAGAGTGAAATCTGCCTCCATATTTATATGTTATAGATGTAAAATTATACATATATATGATATTTATTTTCAAATACATGTTTTTAGTGTTAATCTGTTGATTACATGCTGATTTCTTATCATTTTGCTATTGTCACTGAAATGTTTGCTTCCATCAGTGACATTTTAAGTTTTTGAGAACTGCCAAAAAGATAACTGGGGCCAAAACAATTCACTACAAATTACATGAATGATATACTAATTGATGAAGATACTAAAAGTCATTTTGTTCGTTGGAATGCGATATGTCGTGCCCACTGGAAACATACTTAAAATGAAGTTAAAATTTTTACAGAGCAATGTTTACATCTAAATTATTATATAACTGAAACTTGCATCTTCTTAAGATTACACTTCTGGTTACTTGAACTCTTTCACCACCATTATCTATGATCTACAGTTTGCATTAAATAGTCAGACAAAATGACCAAAATTGAAATCTTGGAGCACAGCCAGGTCACGGCAAAGGAGCTGTTCTAGCTACTCTCAAGCTTGGCAAGCCACCAGTAGGAGTGTGTTAACAATTCTAGCAAGGAGAGATGAAATGTAATGACCACAGGTGAGACAGATGCTCTAACAACTCATTGAAGAGCTCTGAAAAAGTGCAGCCTACATGTTCGACTGCTAGGAAGAAATGAGGGCA